CTAATTTAGTCCCCGCCCCTCCCATTGGATCTCTTTGTAGTCCTTTGTCTCTGATGTTTCTTTGCAGTCTCTTTCCTCACGCTTCCGTCTCTTTGCACTCTCCCCCCCTCCCCCTCCTGCAGCTCATATACTGGAGGCCATTAGTGTCTCCCTGCGGATGTCCCGGTTGCAGTATTCGCCGAGTAATAATTGTTGCTGTGAGCCCAGAAGAGCCATTTGTGTTTATTACACTGTACTGCCGGGCTGTCTGTAGAATGGCGGCGCTGTGAGCGGTGGCGGGGCTCTGTGCTGTGTGGTTCCCCCTTGTACACCCGTCACCGAGCTCTCCTCCCGTATTCTGGAACACTCGCCAGTCACGGCAAAAACATCCTCAGTCTCTATGCAGACCGCTTGTTAACGGCAAACTGCAGTAACCCATAGCAACCCAACGTCACATGACGCTGACAACAGTCCAGATTGCCCCTCCCATCGAGGACGCCGTCTAGTAAATGTCTCCAGTGAGACATCCAGAAATCCAGAGAGCTGATCACTTCCTGTGCTGCTCTCTTATCCGTTCCATTGTTATCCCTTCTCTTGTTTGACTACATGACGCCTCTGTCCTATGTAAATGAGAAGAGAATAAGGGAGGTGTTCTGTAGTCCTGTCCTAGCGTGACAACGCTGCTCCTAATACAGACGCTGTACAGTGAGCAGGGTTGTCACCCTGGGACCGGAAGCTTGTTACCGGCAGGATCACTAGGTCCTACAGGCCATCCGCTGGGTTTGCTGGGGCAGTCCTGTATCTTGGTTCGATGCCGTGTCCGGGGGCAATGTCCCTGCATGTTCATAGGTGGGGTCTGAGTGGGCCCGACCCATGAAGTGCTTGTGATGGGCGGTCCCTATAGATATATGGGTGGGGTCTGAGTGGGCCCGACCCATGAAGTGCTTGTGATGGGCGGTCCCTATAGATATATGGGTGGGGTCTGAGTGGGCCCGACCCATGAAGTGCTTGTGATGGGCGGTCCCTATAGATTTATGGGTGGGGTCTGAGTGGGGCCAGTAACGTGGTCATGGTTTGGGTGGATGATATGTGGGCGGAGTCTTGTCCTGGGATCGTAGTGTTGGGAGTACCGGGGGGAAACCTAAAGGAAAAGATCGCGATGCAGCCGCCACGTCTCCGGGCGTTCGCGTTCCCTTCATCGGTGAAGATATTTTATCTCGGACGCAGATTTCTATTTTCTGCTCTTTAAATAATAATTCCGATTTCCATAACGAGCGGATAATCTCTGGGATTTGGACGCCGTCTCGCTGGGGTTCCCAGCGCTCCCGGGAAACGCAATCACACAATATAACGTTCCCGCCATAAATATTTCATATAATGTGTGACCAGAATGTGGAGATTCCAAGTCTATAGAAGGATCCTCGGTATACAATGTAACGTCTATAGAAGGATCCTCAGTATACAATGTAACATCTATAGAAGGATCCTCAGTATACAATGTAACGTCTATAAAAGACGTGTTGTCCCTCCTAATTCAAACCAACCCCTTTAGAGTGGAGTCCCCCTAAAATCTCTTCCCAGACCCTTAATCCAAGCAGCAGCCTGGCGGAGCAGGAAGGAGGAGGGAATGAGCGAGGGCACCCCCCCCCCCCCCCCACCCCAACCC